TGTTACGTCCTGACCTACGGTTACGATCGGGTCCTAACGGAGGAACGCAACTTGACACACGACACTTTTGTGTATTATATCTCGGCATACTGACCTAATGAGATAAGGCAAGCATGCGAGACTGTTCAACGACGTAGTCAAGTCAACGGACTTGCCGATATTATTTGTCTAACGTCTTCTCACTCGTCGATTCTCTTTTAGGTCTTAGAAACAAATTTAATTTACCTGGGACAGGACCTGGTAATCACGTGATAAGATTACAGAAATGAGTTTTCAGGATAGATTTCAAAAGTTCATTTAATTAGTTGAAGCCGTTTTCATTCTTATGAGTATATAAATCACTTTTATTCAAAGTATTAACATTTAGATTTATCCAAAAAATATTCTTACGCAAGTTGAATTAAATAATTGGACGTGTGATGAAGTTCGGTGTGAATTTGAATTATTATTCGCATTATTATTATTATTTTTGATCCTGGGAGTTCGTAACAGTGATGTTCCTAACATCAATTTTATCCTAATCAACTAATAAAAAGAAAATTAATAAAAATAATCCACATATGTTTATCTAATTACCTTGAACTGTAGTCTTAAAGGCTGTGAAGGTCTAATTTAATTATTTTTGAAATTTACTATGGCCGTTTTCAAATTATATGTATGTTTTAAGAATATACATTATTGCACGTACAAAGTGTATTTACACATTTGAATGTTTTAAAACTGTTCATCTTATAGCCATTTGGTTTTGATATACATGCTGCGCAATATTTTTCAGTTTTTTGTAGAACTAAATCTCAATTAATTTGATAGCGCAGTGGAGCGCGCAACCGACGTGAAGAGCCACTCCGTGCCTTTATTACGCGAAAATGAGTAAATTTAATATTTGTGAATAGTAACATACTTTCTATTATTGGTAAATATTTAGAAAAGGTCATCCCTCTTCGATTTTAATGAGCTTAACATATGTTGTCAAGAACATCTTCCTGAGTAACAATCCGTAAATTTTAGTCGTCGCTCGTTGTTTAAAAAAAAATTATAAACAATTGAAGTTTCAAAACTAAATTTTTATTTTTCGACATCGTGTACATTTTTTTCATGTTGGAAGCGTGTAAGCAGGGGGGTCTACGCCCCCCTGCTTATAACACGAGCAAAAAGAATGAAAAAGTAGCCTTCACCGTCTATATGTATACGACAAGAAAAAAAAAAATGAAAATGGGAAATTGATGAAGCAAAAATAGGCAAGCGCAAATATCACCGAGGTCGTGTTTTACGAGGCCAGTAGGTGTTTGGCGACTATGAACACGACAGTAGTCGCATATTTATTGTTCCCGTGAAAGATCGAACAGCTGAAATTTTGTTAAACGAAATAAGGAACCGTATTGTTCCGGGATCAATAATATACAGTGACTGTTAACGAGCATACACTGATATCAAATCATATGGTTACAATCATTACACCGTAAATCACGAGCAAAATTTTGATGATCCAACTACACAATGTCACACACAAAATATAGAACGAATTTGGCGAGATATGCGAGCAAATATTCCCCGTTATGAAACATCAGCTGAACATTACACATTCTACATAACTGAGTATTTATTTAAACGTCGTTTCCAACACCAGGAACGTATAGACACATTTTTTACAATAATGTCAGAAATATACCCCCTCACTGACATTCGGTTACCAAACGAATAAAATTTATAACACTAATTAAAATTATATATTTACACGCTCAGACCACGATAAAAGTGTACACAATGTCGAAAAATAAAAATTTAGTTTTGAAACTTCAATTGTTTATAACTTTTTTTTAAACAACGAGCGACGGCTAAAACCTTTTGATTGTTACTCAGGAAGGTGTCCTTAACAACATATGTCAAGCTCATTAAAATCGGAGGGGGGTGACCTTTTCTAAATATTTAACATATCTTGTTTATTGCGCGTATGTACATTAAAAATCTCCTTCGTCACGTGGCACACGCGCGCGAATAAATAATAAAACGACACTTTAATGATTTAGTTTGTTGCTTTAATAACGCTCAATAAATACGACGTTCCGCTCATTGTTTCAGCGTAATATTGCGATCGGCATTAACTTCTGTACCGAGAAGATCGTTCTCAACAATATCGATGAGATATTGATCGAAATCAACGATTCGCGCTTTACGATTTTGACCGGAGGCTTTAGTAGAGAGACCGAAAACCTACCTACGTGATCTTCTTAGATTCGTACGCACGCACATATGCGGTACGATCGCTGATTGTTGCGCGAATTTTATTGCCGTTTGCGCTCGTGTTCGGTCATAAAACGAATCGGCATCGACATATCTCGTCCGCTTATCAGCCGCTTTCTTTAAAGACGGCCGATCGATCGTGCGCAAAAGTCAAGCGACTATCTTTTTCCTCGCACGGTCGTGACTTATGACGGTTTTTTTTTTAATCTCAGAATATTCGCTGTATCTGCTACTTTGAATAAATACTGTGCTCCGGAACGCGTAGAGCAAACTGAGCGCACACATGTAACCTATTTATAACC